GAACTTGTCGGTCATACATAAAAATGTTCGCAGACCAAACGGATGTCACAAATCTCTTAGTTTGCAGGACTGGGTCTATCGCCGAGGTCTACACTTATCTTTTGGGAGGGTGTAGTATTCGCGGTATCGGGCACGATTATGCAAACTATTGGACGAATGAGATCCATTTGGTCTCATTTTTTTCAAAAAAAAATTAAAACATACTACTTTCAAAACTCAAACTATATATCTATTATATTAAATTAAATTTCAAAAATTATTTTCATATTCATATTTTTAAATAATCTATTGAAAAGTTGACCGACAAGACCTTTGACCGGTTCTTTTTCAGTGGGATCTAAAGATTCTTTCCTCTTTTCTTACTTCTCGAAGGACTGGGGAAAGAAGTCTCAAAAGAGATGGCCTTACTTTTTCGCTTGTGCTGAGCCGACTCACCAGATTCATCTGCACCCTCCACCTGAGGAGATAGATGAGTATCATCGACTCTTTGTGACGGAAGAATAAATTCTGTTAGGGATAGCCGAAAGGTCTCTTGAGCGTAATGAGGCCTAGCCGAGAGCTCAGTATCTGCTCGAAGTAGAGAGAGAGAGTCTCATCATTCCCCGAATCACCCCATGATCGTCAGATGAAGTTTTCGCTCAACCAGTGCTAATTCAGCTGCAAATTTATTTTGAATAACTACTAAAGTTTTTGAAATTGAGTGAATGAAAATCCGAACCTGGTATGTGCTCTCTAGACGAACCGACCTCTTTGGTTCCCTCTTCCTCCTCTACTCTGACTGAGGGATCATCCATCTTCTGCCTTGTTCTTTATGCCTTTTTAGAAACTCTTTAAACCTTCTCTAATTGTCTCTCTTTTTTGGCCTCATCAGAAGCGGTCCTCATCTCTTCTGTCATGGGGCTGTATTCCCTTGAGTTCAACACCCGATTGATAGTTAAGGGTTAGTATATTGAACTACTGATAATTATCCACTGAGTATAACCTTCTATATTGCTTTCACATGAGAAGAAATTAATTTGCTTTTCTTAAACCTCTCACCAATGGCCTTAGTTGAGATGCCTTCATTATCACAGGTGCCTCTTAAAAAATGGAGTTTTTAGTTTTTAATCTTATTTTCAAGATCAATTAAGTGGAACTTTTGAGTACCAAAAACAACATACTCGTCTGGCTCAATCCAAAAAGGGAACATATGAGAAGATAATTCGCGCGACCAAGGGGCACCTTTTCTTTACTTGAGTTGGGATGTCCCCATAAACTAAAACATCAAGCGAAGCTCTGTGCAAAGCGACAGTCAAAGCCCGAAACGGAACTGGTCTCGGTAAAAAGTTAAATCATCACTTAAGTAGTCAGTAGGACAAACCGCTATCCCCACTCGATCTAAGATGACCTTGTGTCATAAACACAAGTCTCATCTAAAACTTAACCTCAAAATTGGTGAGGATCGATCTTTCGAAAGATCTAATCGGACCAAAAATTTGAGTAGAATATTTGGGGGTCATTGAGCTCCAAAAACAAAACGACTGAAGGATAGACCACAAAAAATGTAAAAATTTCACTCAACTTCAATTGAGATTTATTTATAGACCACTTTTTTGGAAGCCGATGTGTCATATTGATTTCCGTCAAAAGTGTCATATCGGTAAAAAAAATTAATGAAATTCATAATTGCCAAATTATAGAAGATTTTTATTCATAAAAAAAGATATTTTATATTCGGCTCGTTCGCCACCTCAAGCAAGACCAAACATCGGTTCATTAAACTCGAATACAACGCCCTCCCCAAATTTATATATTTATATCTTTTCTTCCTCGACATGTGCATTTGAATTTGAACTGACCACTCTAAAGTCAGCCAATTCATCCCTCACAGTTGCCACCTCAGTACTGAGAGCTTCCAAACCCGCCACCTGGGCATTAAGTGCTCAAATCCCACTACTGTGCCCGGAGAATTTCTACTTCTGCAACTTGGGCTCGAAGAATCTCCATATTTGCATAAACAACTGCCAATTCCTCCCAAAGATTTGTAATGTGGCCTCTCTTTGGAAATCAGCAACCCGGCAAAGGAGTCCACGATCTCGTCTAGGCGGCTAGCTAACGACCCATGAGAGTCCCTCGGCTATTAATTTCCTTCTCTAGATCGGTTGGAAGGGGTGTTAGGACCGGAAGAGGAATTGGGGTAGAGACCCCTTCAGCCGCAACTTGAACAGAAGGACCAAACAGTTTTGTTGGCTCCACTTGGCTTACCACTTTGGGGTTCGAGAATCAGTAGTATCCACGGTTTCTTCTTATATCCACGGTTTCTTCTTCAGCAATCGGGCTAGTGTTATAAAAATAAATAACAAAGCTAAATGAAAAGGGACTGCAAGGTTACTAACTAATTGATATATATCCGATGAACGGAAGCTCTCTGTGACGGAAAAAGCCGTACCACCAAGAGGAGCTTTCTCAGTTGGAGGGTGAGGTGGAACATTCTCCATTGATGGAGCCTCGACCCTCGTACCCTCGACAACTAAACTACGGAGTGAGTCGTCTTCCCTCAGCGGAGCATCACTTTAAGTGGACTTCAGAGTTGGAGAATGAAGCTGTGAGAAATTAGGTGGCTGAATTTGCACAACCGCCTCCGAAAGTTCTCCAACATGAGACGGTGGAAGGATCAGCACTGATGTAGCGGTGCAGGGTCAATGCTTTCCTTCTTTTCCGCCTTCTCACATGGAGTGGTGCTGAGGTTGGATGATTCACCAATCTCTTCCACACGACACCAGCTTATCAGTTGATTGTCTATTTATTTACACTAATTCACCAGCCTTTTTTTGTTGATCGTTCTGTTTTGATCTCCTTTTTTTTTTTTCTCAAACTGGTGTGATTCTCTGCCCACTGTTATCCTAAGTAGTGGGAGGGAACTTTCCAGTTTTCCTTTTTTTTCGTTCCTTGTTGCCCGGGTTGTAGAAATGGGAAGTCCAAAAGCCTTCATTATGGCTTCCTTATTTACTGGTTATTTTGCACTCGACAGGTTCGTTTGCCTGGACGATCGACTCACAGGAAGAGGATGGAGAAGATTGGAAAATCATAAAAGACACTGAGAACCCTATTTATTGAAAAAAAGGTGGGGGCATGGGAATCAAGGGAGTATAAAATATTATAATATTTATTACTTATTATATGCACCATCTAATATTTAATTCTCTTATTCTTTTGGCAGCTGTTGCTCTTAAAAGAAGAGAATTAGGGAATTAATTATGTACATCAGAAATGTGCCTAGAAGAATCTCGAGAATTGATTGGAGATATAAAGAACATAGATTGTTCATGCAAACAATCGGCCAGTAATAGGGAATGACCGAATCAAAGGAACAAACGACTTTTACGAGCATCATGCAATTATATCAGCATTGACTATCCGGTAACTACTATCTTGAAAAATAGCAGTTGCTTAAGATAAAGGATTTTAAAAAAGATACATAATCCGAGGGTAGGTTGTTTATTGGATTACGGTGATTTACTCTCTGCCTGATGAAATAACAATATCCTAGGACGATGTGTCCTCATATTCAAACTGCATAGAACAAGGTGATCGTAGAGCATTAAAATCGACTAAATGATGAAGGGTTGGCCGAAGGAAAGATGGTCGACCGAATATAATTCAAATTACCCAAACTAAACAGTTACAAATGTGAAATAGACAAAATTCAAGGGAGTTACAGATGCATAGCGATGCTAGTATCAATTATGAGGTTGGAATAAATAATATTCAGGTTACAAATGAGTGAATATAATAACTCATTAACTATTTAATAAGGAACTCATTAAATAATAACTCATTAACTATATTAATGTTTCTCTTTTATAAGGAACCATAATATAACTTAGAAATCATACCTCTAAATTATACATAGGAGGATAATTTAAAAAAAAAAAAGGCAGAACAAAATTCTCACAAAAAAATAAATATTAAGTATTCAAATCTTTCTTTTTTCTCTTTTTTATCTGATTAACGCTCTATACCCTAGGCTTGATCCACCGAACAATTTGGGATGCAACAGATAGTGATGAAAACTTAAGTAAAATAGACTTATCTCATCTTACTCCAAGTTTGGATGAGTGTAGAATGAGAATTCAAAAGCCAATCCAAAAATGTTAGATTGATGGTGATGGTGAAAAAACTGCACTGCTCATATATAAGTGAAATTGTGCAGGCATGTAGGATCTTTAAGATTTTTTTAGCTATACCTTTTGTGATCTTTGATTCTCTTAAACTTGCTAGTTGTGACATGTGTTGCTTGAGGCTATGCTTAGCTTGTTACTTAATGGATAGTATATAAATCATCTTTATGCTAATTTGAGCACTTTATCAAGACCAAGGAGATTCCATATTTTATTTCGGTTGTCTTTTATTTCTTTGTGATGTCTTACTTGTTTCTGGTGTTTAAAAAGATACTTATGAATGGAGTTGACTAGGATTAATCTCCTTTTTGCAATGAACTCGACGGTAATGATATCATAGCAAACTCTGTATTTCATCACATTGGTTCGTCTGTATATTGACATTCTGATGTTGGGGCTGCGTTTGTACAATGAATGCAGCAACTTTTTTTGCAGGCTGTAAACGATACATAAAATATATTAATTTTTTGTCTTAATACTTATTTATTTCTCTTTTGTTTTGATTAGAAGCTTTTTTCTGTTCTGCATGGTAATTATTCTAACTAATAATGATGAACTTTGTGTTGCGGATATCATCGCAATACATTGTTATAGATTTCCTTTTTGTTGTTATTGACCCTCTCAATCCATATTTCTTTATTGGTTATGTGAAGACATGTATTAAATCATTTTTTGTTGATTACTCTTTTTTCATTCCTATATTCTGTGTACATTCTTTGAATGTTTGTCAGGTGTTTATGATATTACGGAAAGATACTTTTGAGAATTTAATTTCTGTTTTTTTGAAGTTGAAGGATGATATTGAACTTCTCCCTTAAATTTGTACTGTTCATTCTGCAGGAGCATTTGAAAGAAAAGCATTTGAGGAGTATATTAGTGGAAGAAGAAGAATCTTATTTTCCTTATAATGGGCATCATGACAGTCAAAGTGGTTTTAGCAATCATTGAATACTGCATGAAATAAGTCTTTACGCTCTTTTCATTTTCGTCTAATTTATTGTGATTATTGACACTACAATAACGTTGATAGAAGGACACTAGAACCAAACTCGCTCATTTTCGTATTTGGAGGCCCATTCTGCAATGTTAGGCTCTGAGAGGTTTTAGTTGAAGCCAACACTATGCGATATCTACTGCTCTTGTTTTTAAATACGAGGTCATATATGTTACATGTGCACTCGTAAGTTTTTCAATAAGTAGGAATTAAAATTGGTGAAGTTTCTACGACATTGTAGTGAGATGTGATTTAAAGCTGCGAATTCTTTGATTGGCTGATATGTTTAAATAACATTTGATAAATGACATATTGCAACATTGGCATTAACAACATCATCTGTTCTGCTGTCGTTCCCCATCTCCTTTGTACAGTTCTGTGATCACTATTTTCTCACACCATCACCTTGATTCACCTTATGTGATCTTAACCTTTCTTCCAAGCTCCTGATCTCTGTAATCCTGGCCTTATTTTTTGATCGCATTCTTCATAGTGAAACACAACAAATTTGATTTAGAAAGTTTTAATTTATTTTTTTGAGAGCAATTTCACTCATTATCAAAGCCTAGTGGCATCCTTATTTAAGTAATTTTAAATAAGGGGCCTTTACATACCAATTTCTTGTACACCAGAATAAATTTATATTTTTTCTGATTTATATTTAATTTTTAATAATTATTTTAATCCAAAATAGGAATTGTCAAGTCTAATTAACTTAGTAAACCAAAACATCATTTCTGCCCTAAAAAAAAAAAAAAATTAGGAGGTTTACCTTAGGTCAGAGGACCACTTAGGAATAAATTTTGTGAATTTTTAAACATATTTTAATTTTTATAATTTTTTAGTTTGTTTTAAGAAGTAAATAAATAGAAAATTTATTTTATTTTTAAAAATTTATTTTTATATTTTTCATAAGTCTCTCTGATTCCAAAGAACTCAAAAAAAATATTTTTATATTTTTATGATTTTTTTTTTCATAATTATTTTATTCAAATGTAAGAGAAAATCCATTTAAATACTAAAAATATATTTTTACATCATTAAGAGTTTATGAATATAATTTTAAGTTGTTTCTGTAATTAGAGAATAATTTGAAATATTTTGAGGTGTATTTATACTTTTGTGATTTTTAATTATTTTAATTATTTTTTAAATTGAAAAATAACTCAAAAATAGACTTTTTATTTTGACTTTAATTTTGTTTTTCTTAGGTTCCTCTAGTTTTAAGAAATCATTCAAACCAATTTTCATAATTTTTATTTTATATAATTATTTCGAATAAAAATTCCTATTCAATTAAAAAAAGCATTTTTACATCAAAATAAAATTATTTGACTTTTTAATTTTTCAAGGGACTTTACAAAGCCATTTTCTTCATTTTGAGATATTCTTATGATTTTTTTATTTTTTTTAATATTTTAATATTTTTATTTGTTTTAAATGGAAAGAAATATATTTTGTGCCTTTTAAATTTAATTTTTATTTTTTTCAATGGATCTCTAATCACAGTGAACCTACCAAACTTGATGTTATGTTTTTTTGGCTTTTATTTTTCTTTATAATTTTTTTAATTAAGATAATACTAAAAGTCCCAAAAAATTAAGTATTTTGATCATAGGAATGCCTTCTGATATTGGAAAAATCAGTGGAGGTCCTTAATGTCATTAGGAGCAAACTTACAAAATTTTCTTTAATTTTTGTAATTGTTTAATCAATTAAAATTAATTTCCCTTGTGGAGTTTTTAATTAATTTAAAATAAAATATTTAATAATTTTTTTTGGTTTTTAGTTGAATAAATTCTCCTCTATTTACTGTGCACAAATGTATTTTTACTTTATTTTTTGATTTTTACACCAAGATATCAATTTTTGAAATTTCTGTAATTAAATAATTCCAAAAAACCCTAATTTTCTACTTATTGATATGCACACCATGTTAAACATATGATATGTAAAAGTCCACGTGTCGCGCTTTGATTGGTTGCCATTTACAACTCATTCGCCTCGCCGCCTGCGGTTAGCGTTCCGTTCACTCGTCAGATTCGATCTCGATTAACCGTTTGATACACACGGAAATGGATGCCATCAGCTCATCGTCCCCCATCGCCATAACCTGAGAATCGTTCGTGTTCTAACCCAAAGATCTCCCTGAATACTCAACCAAATTAAGGGCCCGTTTGGGGCATCTTATAAGTGCAGCGGTGTCTTCAAAAACGCCGCCGCACCCTTTGGTTTGCACGTTTTAACTGATTATCTGAAAACAACGTTTGTATTTTCACGAAAACGCGATCCCGGGTATAACCTCACGATCAGCGTTTTGAACGCCCGTTTTAACCACATACCCTCAGCGAATAGAGCCCTAGCTGTTCGAAGCCGATCTTCCGCACTCCCCATTCGACCGAGAAGCTTTGAGGTCTGCCTTAGCTCGTGACTCCCTGCTTCCGTTCTTCGAGATTCTTGGCTCCCTGCTTCCGTTCCGCATCGCGCTCGACAAGCTTCTTCTTCGTTGTTCTCGGCAGGCATTTATTTCTCTTCTTCATCTGCAGTTCTTCCTCTTCCTCTTCTTCTACATTTCTTCTTCTTTGGTACTTACATTCTTTTATAGCATGGTGGAGAACTAAATCAGATAACCACATTTGCAATTACTTCTTCTTTGGTTGGAAGGAATTAAATGAAATTGGGTTGCAGAACTCTCATATGTTCTTGCCTCTTTGGGAAGGAATTAAAGGAAATTTGTCTGCAGAACTCTAAAGATTAAAGATTCAGAACATGGTGCACTCTCAAATGGCCGCAAAACTCTAAATATGGGCGATATTGAGTAAAATTAAAGATTCACATTACATATTGGCTTTGAAGAACTTGTTAAAATTTGATGATTTACTTTGAATAGACGCGATATTGAGTTTTGGTTTAGCCATCTTATTTGAGTTTCTGTTGTCGTTATATCTTATGCTTGTTCTTCTTCTATTTCTGAGTACAGCATGGTCAATTGTTGTAATATTTTGATAAATGTACATACATACGACTCAATTCTTATGTATTTACATATCTAACACCTAATCGTCAACTTTTTACATACGTACTACCTGACCTATACATGAGAAGCTATATTTCACTTTTCAAAATTTAAAAAAACGTGATATGTTTTTATATTATATGAATGATTTGAGTGGTATAAACGTTAAAAATGAAGTTTATGTTTTAGTTATATAATTACATAGGTCTGGGTTGGTATTTTTGTAAATGCTCCACATGTGCGTTGAAGGAAAAAAAATCTGTAAATGCTCCTGTTTGTTTCGAATTGGATGGCATGTATGTACGAATTGAAGTTTAGGTTAGAAAGATTGGCTTAGTATGGTTGCAAATCTTCCAAAAAAAGAACAAAGTGTGACAGAATTATAATAAGAATACATTTATTCAATCAACAAACATACTACTAAATGAAAATAAAAATTTAAGTACAATTTGTCCCCATCATACTACCGCTGCGAATAACTCCACTGCGCGTGGATGAAATGGTTTTTTTTGCACATAAAGCTGCAAAACAGTTGTTTTCAAACCACAGTAACCAAACAACTAAATAGCTTATTCAGTTCAAGGGCAGATAGGTCATTTATCCACAAACAACTGCAAATCAGTTGTTTTTCAAACGCACAAACCAAACAGCCACTCAGCTTATCTGGATCAACTACTCATAAGCAGATTATCAGGATAACCTGCTTATCAACATAAGCTGGATAAACAACAGCTTCCCCAAATAGACCCTAAGTGCTGTTTATTCCTACACTCTCATCTAGGTGAGATGAACACATCTATACTGCTAGATACACATGAAATGTAAAGTTTTTTCATGAAGTTTTGAACTGAGGGCAATATTAAGTATTTTGATCTATACCTTTCCCCATGATGTGAGGCCACAGTTAGGTTTCTTTACGAGCTTTGCCTTGAGTCCAAGAACATGCTACAAGTGTTGGTTTAAGCTGAGATGCGACCTAGGTATGATTTCGATCAAGAGGTGGCTTGGGCTTGGTCTTCGACTAGGCTATTATTCTCGGGAAGGGTTGATTTTTGTGGGTGAATTCTCCTTGAGATATGGTAAAGAAAATGCTTTGGATTTTGAGCTCACAATTAGGGCTGATCAATGGGGATGAAGGTCTAAAAATGATTGGAATGAGCTTAGAGACACTGGAATTAGGTTTTGAAATGATTTTGGTAGAGTTTCCCCAAAGTTTATGCACTTCTATTTCTTGGCCGTGGGGAGGTGGCTTATTTATAGAGGAGGAAGGAGAGCTCAATTGGGATGACCAGTCGGTGCAAAGGTTTGCTTAGGTGAAGAGAAGAATTGTGCCAGTGACCAATTGGGTTGAGCCAACATAGATGGGCTCAATTGGGTGTTTGCCCCATGGTGGTCCTCTCAGCCATGGCATTTTCCGGTGGCTACGGGTAGCTGGCCAGCCAAAAAAACTCACCTCCACACTATGGGAGGTCAGATTTAGGGAGGTGTGAAGTCAATTTGATCCAAGCATGGGTAATTACAATTTTTCCAAAGCGAGCAATGGGTTTAGGTTAGGTTGGGTTAACCATGGGTTCAACCCCATGGAAATGGCTTGGGGTCAAGTCCAAGGTGGCTGGAGTTGATGGGTCAACTTCTAGGGGCTTGGCTGATTGATTTGGAATGGGGAATATGGAATTTGGTGGGGTTAGGGTTTTGGTTAAGCCACTTTGGTGGGAGGTGAAAGGAAATCTTCCTTTTGCCACATTTGGTGTATGTGACATATATGATGTTCATGGATGGTTCCATGAGTGACTCCATGACATTTACGAAACCATGATCAATTTTCATGAATAAGGATTTTGGGGATTTTGAAAAATTGGTGAGAGAGGGCAATGGGACCAAAAGTGGATGGGTTCATACATGGATGCATTATGTGGGTTGCCATGGTGTATGATTTTGATTAAAAAGATGATGAAAAAAAATTGCCATGCGGGCTTAGGCTTTTAAAAGGAAATTTGAAATTAGATTTTTTGTCAGATTAGGTATGGTGGGCTTTTAAAATTATGTGTGATGGGCTTTTGAAATGAAGGATTCATGGGTTAACTTTGGGCTTGATGAAATTTAGGATTTTTCATGATGAAATTTGGACATGCATTTGGTGAAATTTGATTTGGGCTCATGGGTTCAATTTTGGTGAAAATTAGATTTAGGGTCAATTTGGGATGGCTTGGCTTTAGTTTGATTTTAGGTTTGGAATTTTGGTGGAATTGGTCTTAAATTTAAAATTGAGTGGATTTGAAATGAATTTGATAAAAGTTGGGGGCTAATTTGGGAATTTTAGATAACTTTGGTAAGGTA